GGTTGGCAGAGGGCCCTGGGGCAGCACAGGGGGGCGGCCTGCCCGGGAGGGGACCTGGGGAGCCCCGGCTGCCTGGGCTCCGGAGGGCCTGGGCCTGCCCGCCTGCGCCCCGCTCCAGTGCCGGGGGCCCCAGCGGCCGTCTGGCGGCGAGGGCAGGACGCGACAGCCTACCTCGTGGCAGTCCTGCAGGAAGCGCTGCAGCTCCAGGTGGTCGCCCAGGCGCTTCATCCACGCTTGGGCCAGCTGCTGGTTTTGCTGGCTCCTGCAGGGCGAGAGCGCGACGGGGTCAAGCCGGGGCTGCCGGGGCCCAGGAGGCAGTCCAGCTCCGGACGAAGCCTCTTCTGCACCCTCTCAGCTGCCCAGGAGCCGGTGCTGTCCTGGGGCATGTAGTGCCGCCGCCCCGGGGGTTCTTCTTTCGCGCTCCGAGCCAAGCACCTCCAGCTTAGTTTGCTGACAAAGGAACTGGAGTCTCCTGACAATTGAATGCACCCAGCCACCTTGGACTGGGCAAAAATGTGCACGGCTCATTTTCATTGGCATCAAGATCAGCTGTTTGCAAGCAACTTGTTTTGATCAAGGAAAATGCAGTGAAGCTGCCAATTCGGGTCTCTGTCGCACTCGGCCTCGCCTGTGTTTTGACCCAACAACGGGCCGTGAGACCACATGCTGAATTTTTCATGAGAGGCTGGATACTTGGGTCAATGCTTACCTTTGCCATGGGCTCTCTGCTCTGCTCTGCTCTGCTCTGCCCTTGCCCCCCTCCCCCTCACGCACATTCTGCAAAACCCAAACTGGCATCAGCAGAAATACTGCCTTGCAGGTGGCAGTCCCAGTGAGTCCAGCGCATGCCAGAAAAGCAATGTAGCACCACAGCACTGCTGCCTCCAGTCCAAAATCCTGCTGACCTCGGCTAACCCTTCGTGTTTCAGCTACTGATGTCTGGACTTAGCCGTCTGTGGCATTGTTTTTTGTGGCATGGGCAAACTGCTCTCTTGACTTTCGTTCACAAGATAGACACACATGCACGCATGTGTGTGCGCATGCACACACACACAAGGACAGAAACCCAGAAAAAATGCCAAAGAAGGTGACAAACCATCACTGGGAACATGGTAACAACAGAAAAGGGAATGCCAGTAGCCGGCTTCCACCAGCAGCCCTTAAGCTAAAACAACAGCACAGTGCAAGTGGTTTATCTCTCTGGAGCAGATAAATATATTAAGGATTTGACACCAACAAAAATGACAAGCTAAATTAGCACTCGATCCTTCACAAAGGGAAACTTCAAAGGGAAATGGCAGCAACGTCGACGTTAATTAGGGCTCGCCAATACTTTCCATGGTGCTGGGTGCTTTCTTTTAAATCCAAAGCCCCTTCCCTGCCAGCCCTCAGGTGTTCTGAATCCCAGAGACAAATCTTGTCATCGGATGAACCTCAGAGCTCGCCAGGCAAGACACTGGAGCGGCCCCAGCCCTTTTCCCCGAGAGGGCCTTCCTCAGCGAGGACAGAATCGCTGCAGAGGGAGCACGGGAAGGGGGCCGGTTCCCCGGGGGGGTCAGCCTCTTTCCCGAAAAAGCGATGCCAGGCCCAAGACTGCCTTGCAGTTGGTTAAGCCTCTGAAGAGCCTTGGTTAAGCAACTGCATCTGACTGCAACCGAACGCAGGGCCCTGAACCTTGCTGCGAACCGGTTTCTTGCTCGCTCGCTCGCTCGCTGGCTTGTTCTGCGGTTCACAGGCATCCACATGTCAATTTACTTACATCCGGCTGGAGACAAAAACAGACCCCCTCCTGGCAGGCCTTCCCCCTTAAGCCGGCCCATGCAGGGCCTGGATAATGGCAACTCAGCGGCTCATGGGGAGCTCTGGGGGGCTGCCAGCCATCCTGGCAAGCAGAGGCCTCGTGCCACTTCCCCAGTGGCCCTTTGAGGCCCCCTTTTGGGGTTCCCAGTAGCTGTGGGGAGAATGAGGCTTACTTGGCCTGCAGGGCCTCCATCTTGGCCTTCACCTGCTCGCTGTAGAGGTTGCCCTGGCGAATGAGGCTCGTGCCTGCCTTGAGGGCCAGGCGGGTCTTCTGCAGGTTGAGCTCCATGGTGGTCATGAAGTCCTTGTGCTTCCTGATGGCCTTCTCGACCCCGTCCACCGTGGCGGGCAGCTCGGCGCGGGACAGCGTCGCCTCCTGCAGGAGTCCCGAAGGAACGGCTGCTGTCCTGGCCACAGACAAGCCCCCTGCCTGGCTGAGCCCACCCCTCGTCCTGATGCTTCCTGGAGGCTCTGGCGGGGGTGCTGCTGCCAGCCAAGGCCCTCCCCCTGGACGCAGCTGGGACCCAAGACTGCAGGGGTCATGCCTGCCCATCCCAAGCATTTGTTTACCGCCTCTTCTGAGGCCCGAAGCGGCAAGCAAGAAAAGAGACTTAAAGCAGAGCTTGTGAGATAAAAAGACCGGGCCACGGCAGCGTCCCGACGCCTGCACGCTTCGAGCAGAAAGGGCTGTGGAGGCGAGTGTCTCCCTTTGCTCCCGGGGGCCTCGGACGCAGCCCCCAGCAAGGCATGCTGCCGTCGCAAGGCCACCATTCCGTGCACCAGACACCTCATCCTGGGAGGGCACTGGGAGGAGCATTCCTGGCCCGGTGGCACCCCGCTTTCCACAAGCAAGGCCAGATCCAGAGCTATTCCGTGGCGAACCACGATGAGCCGCCACTGCCTCATGCAGAGGGCCCTGCTGGGGCAGAGCATCCCGGTTTCTGCGGCGGGGCCTGCCGCAGTCGCCTGGATTACCTGGCTGCGCAGGGCGGCCTCCGCCTGCTTGGCATCGCGGAGGAAGAGGAAGAAGATGTGGGCCTGGGCCAGCGCCTCCCGCCGGCTCTCCCACATCTCCAGCAGCTTGTTCCAGCCCACGTCGAGCTTGTGCAGCCACTGCTGGAGGGAGAGGTAGGGCAGGTCGGCCTCCTCCAGCGCCAGCACGTCGTTGACCGCCTGGATCTTGGCGTAGTCCTCCTCGTAGCGGTTGATCTCCTCCTTCAGCGCAGCGTGCTGGTTCAGCAGCCGCTCGGCCTCCAGCAGGTCGCCCGGCAGCTCTTCCGAGGCGGCCGCCGCCTGCGTCTTCACGAGCCACGTCAGGAAGCTGTCCAGGTCCTGGATAAACTGCTGCAGCCTGGGGGTGGGGGCGGGGGTGCATGGAGTGGGCAGGGGGCCCGGCAAGCCAGTGCTTCCCTGCACTCAGGCTCACCAGCCAGCCAGCCAGCCAGCCAGCCAGCCAGCCAGCCAGCGCAGGGCAGGGCAGGGCAGGGCAGGGCAGGGCAGAGGCCCCTGGGGAAGGACCCCGTCCCCCTCACCCCTCCAGCCTGCCCCCGGCCTGACCTGCTCGCCACGGTGAGGGAGTCCTCGCAGCCCTGCAGGGTCCGCTTCAGGCCCTCCCACTCCTCGCTGATCTCCTCGAACTGCACCAGGATCTCCATGGCCTGTGTGGGGTGGGTGTTGGCCAGCTGCTCCCCCTCCTGCTGCAGGGCCACCAGCCGCGGCTCCAGCACCACCAGGGCCGCCTCCATGGTGGAGAGCCGGCGCTGCAGGGAGAGGACGCTGCCCAGGTCACCGCTGTTGTACTGGCTGCTCTCGATGGCCTTGCGCTTCTCCCGGATCTGGGACTTGATCTCGTTGCACTCCAGCAGGTAGTTCTGGATCTTGAGGATCGAGTTCAGGTGGTCCTTCTTCTGTTCCACCAGTTCTACTACCCGGTTCCACCTCGAAGGAAAGCAGTGGCGGGGGAAGCATCAGCGTCGGCCTGGCTGCATGGTGGAGGCTGGAACGGCCCCAGGCGGCCCCAGCAGGGTGGGGGGCGGCATTGTGGGCCCCCTCCCGCTCCCGTGCACAAGGCTGAGAAGTGCAGCCCGGCATTCCGGGGGGTCGGGGGCACGTGCTCCATTTCAGCCCACCAAAAAAGTCCACCATCCCGGGAATCTGTGGCCACGCAGTGGCTTGTCTGGGCAAGAGACCCCCCACCCAACCCAGGTGGCCCCCACAAAGCAGGATCTCTGCTTCCGGCAGAAGGCAGCTGAATCCTGGGCTCCCGCCGAGAGGCGGCTCCTCCTGGGGCCCCGCAGGCCGTGACAATCAGCCCTGTGGTCGCCCCAAGACAACAAGCCCCCCAAGGCATGGCTGGGCAGGCAGCAGCCACATGGGGCAGAGGGGGAGAGCAAGCGCCTGCAGTCGGGAGCGGAAGGCCGCAGGGCCCCCGGCAGCACCCGGATGCAGCGGGCAGGGGCCCACCGTCCCTTCCCCGGCCTTGTGGGCTGGTCAGGGACCAACAGGGGGCCAGGCCAGGCTAGGTTAGGCAAGGCAAGGCAGCCCGGGCCAGTGGGAGCCGGGGGCCCACCCCGTTCACCTCCAGTCCACACGCATTTCCTGGGCACAGAATATAAGCGCACAATGTTCTCGACAAGCCCCGGCCACCGAGCCACACAGCCACAGCCGAGCGCCCAAGTCCGGGCCTGGCGGAAAGCGGGCACTCTGCACGTGCTCAGATGAACTGCCCCCTTATGTAGGGCAGGCAGGTGCTTCCTACCTGCTGTTCAGGTGGTCCTGGCAGGCCCGGACTTCAGAGGCACTTGGGTGGCCCCCGTCCACCAGCTGCTGCACGATGTGGTTGACGTCCAGGATCCGGCCCATCAGGCTGTTCATCTCCTGGTCGAGGCTTTCAAACCTGAAGGGAAGGCGGGGCTGGCTGAAGCCTCTGGGTCTGGGCAGCCCAGCCTCACTGGCCACATGGCCGCCCGAGGAGGTGGGTGCCCCGAACCGGGGGCCCCCGAGTCCTCCATTCCGAGCACCCTCATGTGCCCCGCCTCCTTCAGCCACCCGAGCCGGAGCTCACGCCTTCTAGCCCCAGCTCAGCCTTCCTCCGGGGAGGCCTGGTGGCCCCGGACCTCTTCCCAGTCCCCTCCCGCTGAACGGATCTCAAGGGGAAGGGATGGAAAGGACCGCCTGCGTGAGGCACTGAAGGCTCAGGCAGACCAGGGTGGGTGAGATCCAAGGTGCGGAGAGTATGCGCCACGGCTGCGCGCAGCCCATGAGGTCACCGCTGGGGCCTGCTAGGCCCCTCTGCTTCTGGCAGCAGCACCCCACGCAGGGGGAGGGATCGGCAGGGCTGGCGCGAGCGCGCATGTCCTCCAAAGTGTGGCCACAAAGCCATACCATCTCCCAGTGTGCTTCTGAGCCCTGCTGGTCAGGGAGGCAGGGCTGGTCAGGGGGACAGGGCCTTTCTGGTTGTAGCCCCCAATTATGGAAACCCCTCCCCGGAAGGCTGCTGTAGCCATCTCTTCCCCAGGTTTCAGGCAGGCAGAGAAAACCACGTGGCTCTGCCGATACCGCATGGCTCCGTGTGTCTGCTCCCCGCCGTCTCCCAGGATGGGTCCTGCACCTGCTTAGCTGGCGGCGGAGACAGATTCGCACCCTCACGCCGCTGCACCGGCCCCTCAGCGGACACGGTGGACACGGGGGGCGGGGCGACTCGCGGGTGGGCCGGACGAGCCCAGCCTCCGCCCCGCCCCGCCCCGTGCCACGCCGCGCTGCCCGGGGCCACTGGGGGCCGCCGTGCCCTCCACACGCCCCTACCGGTGCTGCACCACCTCCACGTCCTCCAGCTTCTGGGGCACGTCCACGCGGTGGAGCCACTGCTCCTTCTCGTCGATCCAGACCTCGCAGGAGTCGACCTCGCTGAACATGCGGTAGACGGCCAGGGCGTCCTGCAGCCACTGCTGCCGCAGCACGGCCACCTCGGCCACCTCCCCGTACAGCTGCTCCACCTCCACGATGCGGATCTGCACGTCCACCAGCTCGTGGTAGGCGGGCGCGAGGGCGGCCAGCTGCTGGCGCAGGGCCAGGACGGTCGCCCGGTGCTGCTCGATCTCCTCCACCACCGCCTTGTGCTTCTTGGCCAGGGACTGTGTGGAGTACTCGTCGTGGCCGAAGTCGTCGCTGGACACCAGGCGGTAGGCGTCCTGCAGCCAGGCCACCAGGTCATCGGTGTCGGCGCTGAACTGGTAGAAGCTCAGGGCCTGCTGCAGCTTGCGCAGGTGGGAGGCCGCCAGCTCCTCCAGCCGCTTCCAGCACAGGTGCGTCTCCCGGATCTTCTCCTGGAGGTCGCTGGGGCCACAGCGCTTCTGCAGCAGGGCCTGCTCCCCACGCCGCATGGCCGACTGCAGCAGGGCCCGGCGGCCCGCCAGCTCGCCCAGCAGGATGCTGTGCTTGCTGAGCAGCTTGGCCACGCTGTTCAGGTCCTTGCCGTAGTTCTGGGCCGAGGACAGGATGTGTTCCTTCTCCCGGGCCCAGGCCTCCACCTCCTCCATCTCTTGGAAGAAGGACCACAGCTGGCAGGAGGCCTCCAGCTCCTGGCGCCGCTTGGAGGCCAGCTCCTGCAGCTGCTCCAGGCAGTTGCGGACGTGGCTCACCCGGTTGCAGATGACCTGGGGGTCGCAGGGCTGGTAGCCTAGGGAGAGACGCCCGTGGGAGGAGTGAGCGGGAGGAGGAACTGACGTCCGCCAGGCCTCCTTCCGTGGTCCTGCCTGCTCCTGCGCGCTCTCCTGGTGTAGCCGTGGGCCCCCAGATCGGCTCTGGGCAGCAGGCCAGGGAGGGGGCCTGGTCCCAAGCCCACACGACGCGCCCTGCCTTTACCTGCCAGCTCCGAGAACTTGAGGGCCGCCTCACTGAGCGCCTGGATGCGGTCGCTCTGCGCGGCGATGTCGGCCTCCCTCAGGCCGTGCTTCTGCAGCAGATCCTCCACCTCCAGGAGGTGCTTCCCAGAGTCCGTGGATGCCAGCTGGGCCTGCCAGGAAAGGCCGGGGCAGGGATGAGCGCCCCGGCAGGGCCCTCCCCCAGCCTCCACGGCTCTTGCCTCGGAGCCTGCTCAGGGCCAGCGTGGGCCGGGCTGGGGCCTGGCTGGGCACGGGGGCTGCTGGGCGTGGAAGGACAGGGCTGCGGAGTCATGTAGACACGTCCCTCCCAGAGACCGGCTTTGGGGTGCCCTGTTGACAGCCGGTCGGAAGGGCATCGGGGGCCCAGCTGGAGGATCCGCTGGCCTGTGGGCCCCTCACGTCGGCCGGGGGGCAGGCTGGGAAAGGTGGCCCATTGTGAGCAAACCCTCTCAGACCAGGAAGCAGCTCCAGGCCCGGATATCCTGCTGGTGGACGGAGCCCTGCAGCCAGGCTGGGGGGCTTGTGGGGCAAGAGCAGCCCCTCCCATGGAAAGAGCAGAGGCCGGCAAGCAGGAGACTGGCCTTCACAGTGCGCCATTCCTGGCGGGCTGGCCCGTTTTGCCCAGCTATGGGCAGGCTGCCAGAGCGGACCCCTGTGCTTGGGCGCCAAGGGCAGCGTCCTCCCCGCTCCCTCCCCCCGGCCCCTACCTGCATTTCATCCATCCAGTCAATCATGTAGACCATCTCCTGGAAGACCCGCTGCAGTGCCATGTTCTGCTCCAGCCGCGCCCGCCGGGCACCGAGCAGCTCCGTCAGGAGCCCCCACTGGCGCAGAATGTTGTCCTTCTGGGCCCCGATGCGCTTGCTGTCGTAGTAGCCCTCCGACTCCATCTCCTGGGCCAGCTCCACCACCACCTGGATGCGCTCCTGGTAGGACGAGATGTCTGCCTCGATGGCCTCGTGCTTCTTCATGGCAGCCTCCACCGCAGGGAGGTCGTAGCCAAAGTTGTCCTGGCAGGAGGGAGAGCTTCAGCCAGAGGTCGGCGGTGCAAGCGCCGCGTTAGGTGTGCACACTCGCTTCATGCATCGCATCTTTCTATGTCTGTACGAACATGGCTTTTATAACACATTGTTAACTGTTTTAATCTCTAAAAAGCGCCCCCCCGCCCCCCTGCTGCCACTTCGGCTGTTGGGTGGAAGAGAAATGCCAAAACTGAAATGGCTGGATGGGAGGGAGGGAGGAGGCCGAGCAATTAACTGCCTGGGTGACCCAACATTTGAAGACCGACCTAATTCAGTTTGGAAATCCAGCTCTGAGCCTGAGCCGGGAGAGCGGCACCCACTGAGCCACCCGGCAAAGGACCTGGGCCTTTCTGCCGAAGCGAGCACTGTGCTACCCTGGCAGGGACCGCGGTGGAGCCCTGGGCTGTGGGCCTCACACACTCAAGCCCCCGGGGCGGCTGCGTGGCCCTGAGCCGGCCTCCGCAGAAGGAGCCCCGCCAGGCAGCCCTGCTGGCCGAGCCCCCGGCGCTCCACTGTCGCCACCTGGGAGACGAGCCGCTGGTTCTCGTTCAGCCAGGCCTCGCGCATGACGGCCTTGTGGTCGAAGCGCTGGGCCAGCAGCTCCAGCTTCTCCTGGCGGATCAGCTCGTTGCGCAGGGCCGTCTCCCGCTCGTGCTCGGCCTTCTCCAGCCTGGTCCAGGCCTGGTCAGGGGACAGGGCAGAGAGAGGGGGGGATGCAGGGTGGGCCGCGGGGCTCAGCTGCCACCCTGCAGAGCCCCCGAGGGGCCTGGCCTCCCCACCTGCCTCCTGCTGGCCCACAGGCCGAGCCGAAGGCTCCCCTTCTTCCCAAGCTGACCGACCGCGAATGCTTTACTGAGGTAGCGCAGGCCAGCCAGAGGGGCTTCAAGGAAACGAGTTGCAGAAGCCAATGACCAAAGCGCCCCCCCCCCCCGAGTCATGATCTGCTCCGGCTCTCCCAGGAGGCACTGCGAGAGAAGCGCCCGGTCCCCGCGTGGCGCACACAGGCTACCTTGTTGATGTCAGAGATGCTCTTGCCCTCTTTCGGGACATACAGCTTGCGGTTGTTGGCGCGGAGCTTGCTTTGGATGGAGAAGAGCAAGACCTCCAGGTTTCCCTTTTCCTGAAACCTGCAGGCAAAGGGCAGAGGTGCTGGGGTCGGGCTGGGCCTGCCCCTCCTTGCCAGCCTCCCCCCACATGGAGAGGCCACCCAGGAGACTGGGCTCCCTTCAGGCTGCCAGAAGGGGGGAGGCAGGAGCGGTGCCTGCTGAGAGCCAAGGGCTGGGGCAAAAGGGGCCGTGGGGTCTCTGCTCTGCCCCCTCCCGGCTGGGCGGCCCCCCAGTGCCTCACTTGACTGGCTTCTCCAGGGTGCAGAAGGCCGTGAAGGCCTGCAGCTGCTGCTGGACTCCGGCCAGGGAGTTGGCGAACTTCTGGCTGCCGATGACGGTGATGGTGAGCTCGGTCCACTCGAGCAGCTCGCCGGCCAGAGCCTCGTAGTGCGCGATGAGCTTCTCTGTCTCCAGCACCTGCTCCAGCACCTGCGCGGCCACGCCGGGGCCGGGTGGCGCCCGCGGGACAGTCGGTCAGTGGGGTGGCCGGAGGCCAGAGCCTTCCAGCAAGGGCCCCCTGGCCTGGGGCGCCCGCCCACAATAGGCTGCCTCCCCACGCTGGCCCCAGGCAGCGCGGAGAATCCAGAGAGGCAGGGAGCGTCCGTCCGTCCGTCCGTCCTTCGGCCGCCCCACCTCGCCAGGGTCCGCTCTCTGCCTGCAGCCTCGTGGGCCGTCGACCCCCGGGCTTCCCAAGCCGGGCGAGCCAGCCCCTCCCACGAAGGGGCCCTGCCCTGCCCTGCCCTGGCCCCTCCAGGAGCCCTGCAGTGGCCCTTGGCCGGCCGGCCGGCCCTCCCCTGCCCCCACAGCAGCACCCGGCAGATGCCATGGCCTCCCGGGGGTGGGAGGAGAGCTGGGACAGACCTGGCGCGCCCCTGGCCACCCGCCTCCACGTGCGGGGCAGGCGAGCGGCCAGTGGGGCGGAAGGGCGTGACGTGGCCCCCGAGACGGCCGCTCCCCTCGCCCGTGGCATGTCCCGGGCTGGACGCAGGCTCAGGCCGCTCCTCCCAGGGATTCCCCGGGGGCACGAGCGGAGCACCCCACCCCGTCCATCCGGGCAGAGTGCCTCCGGCTCCAGACTCACCTTGCCAATCCGCTTCCCCTCCACGGCCAGGGCCTTCATCTTGGAGAAGTAATGGTAGAAGGAGACGACGTAGGTGATGATGGACTTTTCATCAGGGTGCTCCATGCTGACATCTGCGAGGGATGGGGAGCGCGAATGAGGGGCCGGAGACACGAGAGGCCTGGGGCGCATCCGCCAGTGGGAGGCCAGCCAGCCCCAGAGAGGAGGCGGCAGAACCATAGCGGCTCGTGTAGAGACGGGGACCCCCCTTCCCTCCGGCCCCGGGGCGAGGCGCGGGGACAGGAGAGCGGGGCCCTCTGCAGGCCGGGCCAGTGCGCTCCCCTCGGGGACCAGAGCCTTGGTCCAGCGGGCGAGCCGAGGGCTGCGCGACGGGGGGAGCTCCTCCAGCCCCCGGATCACTTCAGTTGCCCTTCCGGCACCTGTTCCAGTGCAAGGAGGCCCTTGACGAACCGCACACACCATTCCGAGCGGGGGCACACCAAAGAGTTGCAGACGGGCAGGATGATCTCAATGCACCCCTTAATTCTGTACAGGCACCGAGAAGCACCCCCTGCCCCATGCAGCGCTGGTGCTCAGGCGGGTTCTGCCCAAAGTACGTGTCCGGAGGCTCACCCTCTGCAGACGGAGGCTGCAGCTGGGGCTCTTCCGGGCCGCTGCCCCCCCCCGGCCCAGCCTGTCTCCTCCCATCCACGGAGCTCCAGGCTGCAGGCAGAGGGTCCATCAACTCCAGGGGGACCACCACCAGGGAGAGGCCTTCTGTGGAAGTGCCCCCTGCCCCAGGGGCCCCTGAACCATGGCCAGCCAGCTGCCCGCCTCCTCCCGGTCAGCCGTGGGGGCGCTCACCTTCTGGGTCCAGCAGTTTGGCAAGTCCCAGCTGCTGCTCAGCTGTGTTGAAGGCCTGCTGGAGGTTGTAGGCAGCATTGGATTTGGTCAGCTTCTTGAAATTGATTATGTCCGGCCTGGAGAGGGTGGGAAAGCGCCTCAGAGGAAGCACCAAACTGCCCCCCCCCCCGGGCAGTACTTCTCCTTCAGGCTCCCTCCAAGCAACACAGATCCTGGCTCCACATCAGTGGCCCCCACCCTCCTGTGGAACCTGGCCCCCCTGCAGAGGTCCAGATGGCGCTTCTAGCCCCAGACTGCTGGGAGAGAACAGCACCACCTGTGGGAAGCGGCGCCAGCCCTCCCCCGGTCCCCGTGGCCCTGGCAGGGCAGCCCACGGAGCACGGTGGTGCACTGCCGCAGCGCCGCGCACCTGTGCCGGTGGATGAGCGCGTTGAAGGCCAGGCCATCTCGCCAGCTGGTGGTGAAGTTCTGGATGTTCACCTCAGGGTACCTGGGGCAGAGAGGGGACCACCAAAGGTGAGGCAGACTGCTCTGCAAGGCAACATGCCCCCCAGGCTGCCCCCACACATGGCAGTGCTCTGGCAGAGCCGTGGCAAGATGCTCACAGCATCTCAGATGCGGGGGAGGCAGCTTGGGACCAGGCCTGCTTGGGGAGGGGGCCCGCCACCAGAGCCCCCTGCCCAGGAGGGCTCGCCTGGCGCCAGCCCGATCCACAACAGGCAGGTGTGGCCGGCAGGCCACACCCACTTCAGCCACAAAGTCCCCCAGGTGCCCCTAGAGCAGGGATGGTGAACCTTTTAGAGACCGAGTGCCCAAGCTGCAACCCAAAGCCCACTTATTTATCGCAAAGTATCAACACTGCAAGTAAACCTGAAAAGCGAGGTTTTAGTTTAACAAAAACAACTCGCAGTTAACCCAAGCAAATATGTGTACACCCTTGGCAGTGCACTGACCAGCCATGCGAAAGCTCGAATGAGTCGCGGCTCGTGAGGTCATCGCCTGGCACCGCCACTCCTTTCCGAGCATGCGCATGGCCCCCGTGTGCGCTGTTATCCGATGTTCAGCTGTTGGGGCGATTTGGCTCACGTGCTGACAGAGAGGGCTCTGTGTGCCCACTGTGGCACATGTGCCATTGGTTCGCCACCACTGCCCTGACCCTACCCTGGTGCACTCCCCTAACCCTAATATAGGACTAAAGTTCCATCAAAAAGAGGGCGATTTTGAAAATGCCTTCCTTGAGTAGCTTTTTCTGCGCAGCTCATCATTTCTGCCCCTGCTAATAACATTCCAACCATCAGAAGCACGCCAGGACACCTCGTTTTTCTAACCCTAACCCTACCCTGCTGCACACCTCTAACCCTAATAGAGGACTGAAATACCATTGGAAATAGGGTGATTTTGAAAAAGCCGTGCCCGCCACCCACTGCCTACGCCCCTCACCCAGCCGTCTTCATCTGGCACCAGAGCAGCAGGGCATCCTTGGCCGAGCGGGTCTCTCGGTTGTCTTCCGTTTCAATTTTGATGACCTGGATCTGGAGGGAGGCCATGAGCGGGTGTGGGGTTAGGGGGGACAGCTGGCATGCCCCCGCCCTGAAGAGCCCCTCCTTGATGAGAACTGCCTTCCCTCAGATGCGGGCTTTGCTCCCAGTCCACACAGAGCAAGAGGAGGGGGTCGCAGCCCCCTGGGCCCCCCAGCCTCAGGAATGTCCCAAGCCTCTCTCTGCCTGCCAGCCTGGAGGCCCAGCCAACAGCCTGCTGGGAAGCCAGGCAGGGGGAGTCCCAGCCCAGGCCTGGTCTGGTCACAGGACCACAGATGAGCACAGCCGGAAGGGCCACTGGTCCAGCCCCCTGCTCACTGCAGGCCTCCCATTCAAACCATTCCTCCTAGATGGCTGCCCAACCGCACAGCGTGGGAGAGCCCACTGCCCCCACAGGCCACGGCTCTTGGGGGCAGGAAGGGGGAAGGGACAGTCCTCCTGCAGCCTCCCAGTCCAGCCACCATGGCTGAACCACGCCATTCCCACGGCTGAGCCTTTCCCAGTCTCTGGGTGGACTGGCATGGCTGGCCCATTCCCACTGCCGGCCTTTGGGTCACAGCAGCCGCTGCCTCAGTTGCTACCTGGAATCTCAGGATGATTGTCCAGATGAGGCCCAACGTCAGGCGGTGGTTGCCGTCCACGATGTCGTGGGAGCCCACGTTCTCCAGGTGGACCCGCTGCTCCTTCAGGAACTGCAAAGCCTTGTCTACATTCTCCAGGGAGTGAATCCGCATCCGGCCACGGGTTGCCTTGGGCTTCCAGGGAAACGAGGCAGGGGAGTGTGCAGGCAGCCCAGGGGAAGCAGAGGGACACCCATTCCTCGCACCCCCAACCCCCCCTCACTGCACTCTGTCAGGGAACTTAGCCCAGAGCCTGCTCTGAATGCCAGGTGCTCTGGGACTCGCATGCCCCAGCGATGGAGCAGCCCTGCTGACTGTGTGGGGCTGGCCCTTCTGGGCACGACACGGTAATCCCACAGGCGGCCTGCAGAGCAGCTCTGGGGCACAACGCTCGCGTCTCTGAGTTAGCCTCTTTCCATCTCCCCAGACGCCAGGAGCCCCCCTTACCAGCTGCTCCCCGGAAAGCACCTCCAGCAGCTTTGTCAGCATGCATCCGTCCCTCAAGTCCGTGTAGAGGTCGCTGATCCGGCAGGAGACTTGGCACAAGTGGGAGTTGACCCATTTGGTGAAAGTCTTCTTCTGCACGGCCTCTCGCTCATCTAGCGGAGTTTGAGCTCGTTAGGCGAAGGCCCCCCCAGCAGGTGGGTCCACACCGTCGGCTTCCACCACCGTGCCGCCAAGAAGCCACCGCCCGCAGGCCTGCATGGCAGCCCTCTTTGTGGCTTGCCATGTGGCGCACACCTGGTCTGGTGGGGTTGCGGGCTCGGCTAACAAATCCCCCAGAACCCGTGGCTCCTCTGAGCCCCACCAGTAGCCCACCCTCACTAAGTCTGGGGGACACCACCATCGGCAGGCTGAGGTACCCCGGCAGGTGTGAGCACGCTTTATGCAAGCAAGCCACTGCGGCCAGCACCAGCTCGGCCCTGGAGAGACTCCGGGGACCCGGGCCACTGCTGTCCACTGCCAGAAGACCAGGATCCATGGTGGGTCGGCCACAGGTGTGGCTCGAGGGGCCCCAGGGAGAGCCCCTCCAGGCCTGCCAGGCAGTTTGCAGGGAGGCAGAGCCAGCTGGGGTGGGTGCCAGCGCTGGAGAGCGGCAGGGCAGCTTTAGCCCCTGGCATTCCCTCTGCCCGGAGCGGGAAGTGCCAGGCGAGGCAGCTGGGCTGGGTGCCTTGCTGTACTGGGGGGGGGGGGGGGGGGGGGAAACAGGGGGAAACGGCCCCACGGCACGGCCCACCTCCGGCTGCGGTGTGAGCCCCGCTTGCTCCTGCTAGAAGACAGGGGTGCGAATCAGCCGCGGATCCAGCTGTCCAGGTCCCTTGCAGTGGTGCTGCCCCCCACTGCCTCGGGCAGGATCTCCCGCCATTCCCACTGCTCCCCTGGACATCCACCCATTTGCGGTGAGGGGCTGGCAGGGAGGACACTGTGTGGTCCCTGGGCGGCTCGGCCTGGCAGCCTCTCTGGCAGGTGCTCAGGGACCTGCTCCGGGGGGCAGGGGGGGCAGCCGGCAGCCGCGGCGCTCGTGTGGGGCCGGGGTTGGCTGCAGGCCCAGCTCCTGCCTCGTGTCGCCTCCTGTTGCACCCACGGTCTGGATTCGGCCCCTGCAACCCAACCCCTGCAAGCCCAAGCGAGCAAGAAGTGCAGCAGCGCACACATGTGCGCCCGGGAGCCCCACACACCCGCCAAGGCCTTGATCCGTGAGCACTCAAAGAGCTTGGCGGTGGCGGTGGTCTCATCCCAGGGCCGGAGGGGCTGCTCCGTGTTCTCCCAGCGTGTGTTGTTGTTCTGCTGCTGCTGCTGCTGCTGCTGCTGCTGCTGCTGCTGCTGCGCTTCCAGGTTATCCAGCTTCGCCGGCGTGACGTTCGCCATCTCTCCGCCGTCGCCACAGACCGAGGGATTCCTTCGCAGATCTGCGCGGAGGCTCTTGGGAGCTGCTGAAGCTGCGAGTTGCCGCTGAGGCAGCCTGTTGGGCCTCCAGTTCCTGAAAGCAGCAAACAGAGGGTGGGATACAGGGGCTGCCTCCCGCAGGACCAGCCTGCGCCGGCACCCACCAAGCGCCTGGGCTTTGCCCAAGCCATCGCAGACTGAGGCATGGGGCAGGGTTCGAGCAGAAGAGCGGGCTGCTGTAGGTCACTGGGGCAAAGGGAAAGCGAGGTTGGTCCCCACCTGCCCTTCCACGCCTTAAGGTGTGCATCCAATGGGGGGGCAGTTAACACGGACCATACCAAGCTAGAGGGACGGAGAGACGCGCCAAAGGAAGACACCCTGCCTTTGTGAGGAATGCCGCTTGCTTCCAGCTTTGTGCAGGGCTGCTTCTGGCAACCAAGGCCTTGCTCTGCCTTGCTCTGGAGTGAGGGACGTGTGCTTGGCCTGGCAGATCCAGGATCCAGACTGCCTCCCTCACACAGAGCTGCGGCAAGGGGTGCAGGCCGGCGCGGACAGATGTGATCAAATGCCCACTGCATGACTGGCCAGCGGCCGACGTGGCCACCAAGCGCATGAGGACTCAGCCGAGGGCATCAGGCGCCCCAGAGAATGCAGCCCGAGGCGGGTACCAGAAGCCGCGCACGGCCCTCCCATCTTCCGGTGACACAGTCAATGGGTCTGGAGGGGAGGAAAGGGGCAGCCACTGTGCGGCATCGTGAGGGACCCGCTGTGCTTGAAGGACCCCCTTTTCATGGTAAGTGAAAAAGGGCAGCCGTCAAAAGGGCCGTCGCATCATGTAATGTCAGAACATATTTTGTTCTCGCGATGCGATGGGCACAGCACAATCCACTGGGACGATCGTTTCAAGGCGTTCTTTCCAAGGATTCCCAGAGTGTCCCACCTCGAAGGGGAGCCAAACCATCAGCAGGGCAAAGCAGACACCTTGGCGAAATTCCCAAGAATGGTACCCAAAGTTCATCATAGGAAAAGCACACGGATGGCCTATGGTAGGTCTGACCAAAGGATCACGAAGTCCAGCATCCTGCTCTCCAGATCAGCCCACCAGAGCCTCCAGGGGCACAGAGGTGGAGCCGCCGCCCTGCTGGTCGGCTGCGACCATGTCCCCCTTTACAGAGGGGGGCAGAGTGGGGGAGCTGTCTGCCCACAGCCACCCACACGACAGGCGAGCAGGTGCCACTCATGTTCTCAGCCTGGATCAATTCCGGGCAGTTCCAAGGGAAACAGGCCTTCATTCATCCACCCCCCATTTCCCATCCAAAGCCCATGAGCATGCACAGAGTGTCAAGAACTCTCACATGAAGAATCCCGGCAACTGCATGACATTCCAAATGGGCTCAGGAACCCAGGAAGCTCAGCTGCCTCGCACCAAACGAGACCCACAATCGTCCAGCCCCGGCCAGCTGCAGCAGTTCCCCGGGAGTCCAGGGGGAAGGCCCCCTGGAGACGCAGGGGAAGCAGCACCCCCTCTGGGCCTCGGGCCTCCTCCATATTTCCCCAGTAGCCCGCACAGCAGCCGGGAGCAGAGCTTGCCCAGGGGGTGGTCCGAACAGGAGGTGGGGGAGCGCTCTCGCCTCAGTGCTGCGAGGGCTACAAGCCCCTGGGGGTGCCCGGGCCCCAGAGGAGCTGCCACTGCCGGGTGGGGGGGGCTCGGCAGAGCCTGCTGCGTCCCTCCTCCTCCTCAGTTGTCCGTTGCTCTCCTCAGACAATGAATCCCAAGAACAATACTCGGCCTACTCACTCGGTAACGTGCTTCTCTCCCAGCGGCTCCCAGATGCCGCCCTGCTCGCACCGCAAAGCTCAGCACCTGAAAGACTGAGGTGGCAAAGCTGCTCCGCTGCTCCCGAGCAAGGACGCGCGCCGCCCATCGGGAGGCTCCCCGCACCGGCCCCGGCCCCGAGGGGCGTCCACGCGAGCGCGCACCCGGCCCACGCCTCCCCCGGGGCCCCACCTGGCGCGCACCGGCAGGCTCCGGCGCGGGGGAAGCGCGGCTCCTCTCCCGAGGAGCAGAGCGGCGGCGGGCGGTGCCTTTCCCTGCCGCCGGCTGGGTGGCCCGGGGGCCGCGCTCCCCCGACACACAAAGCGCCTCCGGCTCGGGCCTTGCCGAGCCTCTGCGGGGCCGCGCGGCCCGTCACGGCAGCGGGAAGGCCGCAGACGCGCCGTGCCCGCCCGCAGGCCGAGGGCAAGGGCAGCGGGGAGCCGGCCGAGGCCCGCCGCCTCTTCCTGGCCACCAGGCGCGCCGGCACTCGGCAAGCGCTGACAGCTCCCCCCCGCCCAGCCGGCGGCAGGCGGCGCAGCAGCCCCCTCCTCTCCCCGCGGCCGGCGAGCGGGGCTCGGAAGGTCTGGCCCCCCGGCGGCCGCCCCCTTCGCCCGCAGCCTGCGCACGAACGCGCCTGGCCGGAGGGAGCCCGGCCTCTCGCGGGCGAAAGCGCAGGGGCAGCGGCGGCCCTGCCCTGCCCTGCCCTGCCCGCCCCCCTCCGCAGGCTGAGGTGCCGCGGGCGCGGCTCACCTGGCCCGGCGTCCAGGGAGCCCGCGGCGTCCTCCGGGGCGGGGCGGGGCGGGGCGGGGGCCGAGACGCGCAGCGGCGCTCCTGTCAACGGACGCGGCGGGGAAGAGCCGCCCGGCCGTGCCCGGCGCAGCCCGGCTCTGCCCGCGTCCTCCTCGCCATCATCCCGTCCGGCCTGGCAGCCAATCCCGGCGCGGCGCTCCGTCCCTCCCAGCGCGGGCAGGAGATGGAGGGACCTGCGCGCCTCCCGGCCGCGGCGAGGACCGCTTCCCAGGAAGGCAGGCAGGCAGGCAGGCGCGCGCGCGCGCGCGCGCGCGCAAGCGGGGGGGATGCTCTGCGCTCGCTCCGGCCCCGCCGCAGGAGGAAGATGCGGCTCTAGCCGGCGACCCGCGGGCTGCGCGGAGGGAGGCTCCCGGGAAAGCCGTGCCGGGCGGGGGGCTGTCGCACGCGGGAAGGGGGCGGGACGGCGGCTCGGCGCGCGGTCACCTTGGCCTGTCCTTTCCGGCTCCCTGGACCGCGGGCTGCCTGCCCCGTGCCTGGGCGCCGGGACTCGGGCGGGGGCCGGGCTTTCCGGCAGGAGCAGAAACGGGCGCGCGGAGGAACGGCGGAGAGCAGGGTCTTCGAGGCGCTGCGGCGCCGCACGGGGAACTCTCCCAAGCCGGAACCGCTCTTCGTCCACCTCGGGGCCACAGCAAGAGTTGGGCGCAGGGGAGGGCCGGGCGCCGCTTGCCGCTCGGGCGCACAGGGCCCGTCGCCACGCGGCTGCCCCGCAACGACCCCAGCGAAGGCCGTTCCCACGCGCCCTCCGTGAAAGCGCCTTGGCGTGGCGCGCGGGCTCGCATCCGCCCGGCTCGGCCTCTTCAGGCTCGCTGGGGCCCATTTGCCGGCCTGGTGTGTCGTGGAGCGCGCTCGGCGCTGGACGTGGCCGTTGCGGCCTTCGCTTTCTCAGCCTTCCCGAAGGGGCGTTCTGGGGACAGGCAGTCTGGGGACGCCCGGGCGCGGGGGTGCTTGCGGAGAAGGCGCCCCCCAGCCTAGGCCCAGAGTCGGAGGGTGCTGCGCACGGCAGCTGGGCTCGACTTCTCCGCCCGGCTCCTCGCTGATCCCTGCCCTCCCTCGGCCGTGGCAGAGGGGCCACGGTGCGAAGCGCGCCCGGACGTGCTTCGCACGCGCGAGAGTCGCGCGGAGCAGGTCTGCTTGCCCCGCACTTCCTTCACGTGTGGGACGCAGAACCCAGGACCTCTCACGGGGTCGCCTCTCGTCCCCAGCGCCGCTGCAGCGCTTCAGGCCGCGGTCGGCGTGCTCAGGGGCGGCAGCGCGGCAGGAAAAGCTCAGGGCGGGTAAGCGAGCGGGCGCCTTGCTCTGCGGGGAAGGCCCACGGGCCCCGAGCGCCGGTTGCCTGCCTGGGGCCTTCCCGCGAACGTACAGCGCGCACGTGAGGCGCTGGCGAGGGGCGCGCTTTGCGCGTGGCCGGGGCGCGCGCTCGCCTGGGCGGGCAGGCAGGCCCGGCCGGCCGGCCTCGGGCTCACGCGCGGGCAGCGAGAAGCGCGCTTCTCCGCCGGCAGAGGGCGAGTCCGGCTTGTCGGCGGAGCCCCGCAGCGCCGCCCCCGCCCCTTCCCGGCCCGTCCTGCCTCCTCGGGAGGAGCTCCGGACGGAAGGGCTCGCTCCAGCTGGGCTGGACTGCAAGCGGCGACGGCGGCACGGAGCGCGCGGGGCCGGCATGGCTGCAGCTTGCAAGAAGATCGCCATCTTCGGCGCCACCGGCATGACCGGCCTGGCCACCCTCGCGCAAGCCATTGAGGCCGGTGAGCCCCGCGCGGGAGGGCCGAGGCAAGGGAAGCGCCCCGCGCGGGCGAGGCGGCCGGAGCGCGGTGGGGAGGCGGCGCCGGCGTGGGGCAGAGAGGGGCGCCGCCGGGCCTGGAGGGCGCTGCCTGGCGACGTGGCCCGCCCGGCCCTCCCCCGGGGGGCTCGAGCGCGCGAGCCCGACCCGGAGGGGCTCGCTGGACGCCGAGTCGCGCGGGGAGGCTTCCCGGGCCCGCGTCGGCCTGCCCTGGGCCTCTTCCCGGCAGGCTCGGTGCCCGAGAGCGGCCGGAGCGAGGCTTGCCGAGGACCAGAGCGCTCGACAAGAGAGGGCTTGTTCGGGACTCCCCGCCCTGGCGCGGCGCGGCGCGGCGCGCAACACATGCGGAAGGCGCCCGGAGATTCGCGTTCCCCTGGGCCGAGCACGGTGGCCTCGGCAAAGGGCCCCGCGCAGGCGGTCCCTGGCCTGGCAGACACCGCGGGCAGGCCGGCCCGCGCCCGCAGCGAACGCTCAGGGCAGGCTCGGCGGCTCGGGCTGCTCCCCTGCACCCACCCGGAGAAGCGCCCTTCTGCACGCCGCTCTGGGCTGCAGAGATAAGGGTGGGGGCCTTATCAGGGGTGGCCGGGCCAGGGCGGAGGGAGGGCTGTCGGTCGCGCACTGCCTGCCACCGCTGCAGCAAGAGGCGTGCTCTGGCCGGGCCGGGCCACTGGCCCCGTGCTGTGGCGGCTGAGCCAAGGAAAGGCTGGCCTTGCAGCCATGGCCTGGGAGAGCTAAGCTGGCTCCAAGCGGCTTCCCGGGGAGCAGCAGCCCCGTGCCAGTTCCCCTGGGGATGCCTGTGGCTGGCGAAGGGGCAGGGGCTCCCCAGAAGCTGCTCCCTCTGTGCAGCGCAGTTACGGAAAGGCTTGGTCAGAGCCCGCTGCCCCCCGAGTCTCTTCCTCTGCAAAACGTTTGGCAGCGCACCGTTCTCCCCGGTCCCTGGGCGGCTGCAGTGAGGTGCTGCTCTGTCCCTGCTTGTGCCAGTGCAGGCTGGTCTGCGCGGCTCAGCAGCCCAAGGATCCCACCATCTGCTCAGAGTCCCACATTTTGTGAGAGCAGCCAGGGCGTGTGCCCCTCCGGTCCGTGCAGGTTGGCGCTCGGTGTGCTGGGCTACCCGTCCTGCCCCCTTCTCCCCCGACTGCTCACCCCGTGTGCGCCTGCGCCCCCCTGCCAGGTTTGGCCGCACTGGTCACTGGCACAGCCCGCGAAGGGACACTGGGGCGCGGACTGGGCCCCGGCGGCCCCCCTTTGCCCCTGGGTCATGGGAGCAGGCCACCTCTCTGGGCTGCAGTCCAGATGTTGGCATGCAAGGAACGGGGGTCCTTGGGAGCCACCGAGAGGAGGAGTGGGACTCGATGCATGGCCAACCGCCCTCGGGCAGCTGGGAGCGGGCGGAAGCGGCAGCTGCCGGGCGATCGCATGCGGCATGCCAAGCACTGGGCGGTCAAGCTGGAACCAGCCTGGAGGGCAGGGCAGCCCTCTTGTTCCGGCGGGAGGAAATTCTCCCAGTGAGGGCTAGCGGAAAACTGCTCCTTCTCGGAGGAGCAAACTCTTTCTATGCAACTTGCATCTCATGTGACTCCCGGGCCAGAAAAGGCAGAGCAAGTCCCGCAGGGTGCCAGTGTGGCTGGACGGCAAAGAGGGTGGGGGGGGCAGAAAGTGGGGAAGGTGCTTCTCTTCCTGAGGGGAAGCAATTCTGAAAAGGGCACAGACTCTGCCCGGCCCCAGCGCAGGTGGAGCAAGTGGCTCGTGAATCTTAGGAGGAGGAGCGCCGAGGTGCCGGGAGCAGCCTCCTGTAAGCGGCAGCTTGTGGATGTGCTGGGCAACCGCCCCGTGGTGCCGCCCGGAGGGTGCTGCCCGGGGCAGGTTGCCCTCTTGGGGAGGCTGCTCCAGAAGTGGAGAAGGCGCAGCAAGGGAGGCGGTCCGTGTCCGGAGGATGCGGCAGGGGCGGGACAGCCCGGCAGTCGGTTGACTCTCCCCAAAAAGGCTCTCTCAGAGGAGAGACAAGGCGGGCAGCTAACATGCTCGGAGCCCCGTCCCTTGGAAGACATTCTCAAAGCTACTGCTTTTTTTTTAGAAACGAGACAAGCCAGGGAGGAGGACAACACGCTGTACTGGGTCAAACCTGAAACTTGAGATCACGCCCAGGAGTTTTACTGCTTGGTTAAAAAAGGAACCTAAGCAGCTTTCCAGCTCTGGCATTTTTATCCTCCCGGAAGGGCCCGCCGGGCAAGTCCTGCGAGGACTGGGCCCAGAGGCCGGACGTGGGGCACTCCTGCGACCCCGGAGAGGCTCCTTGGGCTCCCGGTGTGTCCCGCTTTCTATGCACCAGGCCCCTCTGCTTCTCTCTTGCAGGCTACCAGGTGACCGTGCTGGTGCGGGACCCGGTGCGGCTGCCTCCGGAGCTCCACCCGGCACACGTGGTGGTGGGGGACGTGCTGAACCAGGCGGACGTGGACAAAGCGGTGAAGGGGCAAGATGCCGTCATTGTCATCCTGGGCACACGCAACGACCTCAGTACGTGGTGCCACACCCCCCTGCCGGTCCCCTGCCCGGCCCATCGCTTGCCACACCGCTGACTGCCCTCTCCCCTGCCCCTCCACCCAGGTCCCACCACGATGATGTCCGAAGGCACGCGGAACATCGTGGCAGCCATGAAGTCCCACGGCATCCGCAAAGTGGTCGTTTGCCTGTCAGGTCAGCTCCTCCAAGGCTCCCCAGTCCTTTCTTGGGAGGGGGAAACGCTCAGGCTGGAGCACCAGGCCCAGGCTGTGTGAGGGCCAGAGGGCTCCCCAGGCACCCTGGGAGGCCGGCCAGGGCCGCTGGTCAGCCTCGGCCACGCCGTGCTCGAGGGCCACAGTCGAGGCAGCCGAGGGCCTTCTGCTGCGAGCCCGGGGCTGCGGCGCTTTGCTCGGTGCAGCTGCGCTGTGGGGCCTCGGGCGAGAGGCCGGGGGGCAGGACAACATGAGTGGCAGCTGCTGCGCCGGCTCCTCTTCGGCTGAGGCACGGAGGGTCTGAGCCAGAAAGGGGGGGGTGCCAAGGATGCGCGTGGGCCAGGGGCCCCTGGGGCCCTGTAAAATGTTCCCGAAGCAGAAGCTGCCACCGGGGTGGCCTTCGCTCTGTTGCTTTGCTCACAGCCTTCCTGATGTGGGATCTGGACAAGGTTCCTGCCAAGCTGCAGCCAGTGACTGAGGATCACATCCGCATGCAGCAGATCCTGAAGGAGTCGGGGCTGGACTGTGTCTACGTCATGCCGCCTCACATTGCAGGTCTGGCTTGTGGGTGGGGGCGCTGGAGCAAACCTTGTGCTTGCAGCGTCCTCCGCTTCTTCGCTAAATTCTTGAGATCCGCCAGCCAGAGACTGGTGCAGAAGGCATGCAGAATCCCAGAATTAGATGCCTGGGGGCTGGTCCTGGGCCCCAGCACTCCAGGGAGCCCTCAGGACGCACATGCAAGGGCCACGGCCTCCCGCCCAAGCACACCTTCTGCAGTAGCATCATCTCAGGCACTGGAGGGCAGCCACTGCTGGCCAGATACTTGCAAGTCAGACGTCCTTGCTGATTGACTGCAAAATCAGCAAGGCATCGACCAACAGGTCTAGAAGTTTCTTCTCTCGCCCCCTCCCCAAGGGGGGAGTTCCTCTGCTCATCTACATATGCAAATTTATTCCCGATTCTGCTTGTTTGGCACACAGGTCCATTCCGACTCGACGGGCCCTTAACGTGGTACTTCCTGGGGCCCGTCCCTCTTTCCAGTTCTAAATGTAAAGCGGACATCACTATAGCTGGGCCTCGCTGAATATTCTTCTCCCTCCCCACAGTTCAAATGCTAAGATCCGCATCTCTGCAGTTAGTGGCTAAACATGTAGAGCAGGGGCCCCTCCTTCGATCTGCAAGGTCTTCCGATACTGTCGGCTGCGCGCCTGCTCTGGCCACGCTTGGGGCAACGCCGACCGTCCCTGCAGCCTCTGGTGCGCTCTGGCATTTGCGACTGCCCCAGTTCGGCCGGCACTCCTCCGGCCTCGCTGGCTCGGCAGTGTTTCCCTCTGCATAGGCTGCTGGAGCCGGGGGGCCCTTCTGCCCACCGTCTTTGGGCGGCTGCTGCCGGGTTATCCCTGCTTTCCGTTGGCTCTTGGTGCGAGGGTCCCTGATCCGAGCTCTCTCCGGCCTCTCCAGGGGACCAGCCGCTCACAGGGGACTACACGGTGACCGTCGATACATCCAGTGGCTCCAGAGTCATCTCCAAGCACGACCTCGGGCACTTCTTCCTCAAGTGCCTAACCACCTCCGAGTATGATGGCAGGAACGTCTACCTCTCCAGGTATTACCCCAAGGAATGAGCCTGCGGCCTGGTCCCCCCCTCCCCGCCATGGGTGGAGGTGGAGGGGCAGCGACGAAGAAGGCCCTGCCTCACGGACAAGGCCATCCTCCATGGCAATCTGACACTGCCTTCACCAACCCGTCCGCCTGCCGCCAGCTCTTGTGCTAACGAGTGCCTTTCCCGCTTCGCGTGAGCCCTGAAGGGTGGGGGTGCCCACCCAGAAGCCGTGTGGTTCCCTTGCATGTCGACATTGTTCTGAAGTAAAGGCCGTGGAGTGCGTCGTGCCACGCTTGTGTGTGCTTGTGCAGTGGATCTGGGCTGCCCTGCGCCCCTCGCTGCGCCCGGGGGAAGGAGGCTGCTGCGTGCTGTGGGAGGGAGCTGGGCCCGCGAGCCTCGGCTCTCCTGCTCTGGCAGCCCTTGGCAGGAATGTATCATTTTAGAATTACACAGAACCCAGTGGGGAGAAGAGCAGCCAAGGGCCAGGATCTGTCCCACCAGCAGGTCCTGGGTGACTGAGAAGTTAGCTGAAAGACAACTAACGTATTACATAAGGCCACCAACCAATGCAAAGTGCTAAAAGTTTTGGACTGGAAGTGAATATATTTGTATTAATGTTAACAAGTAACTTTGCTCTCAGTATAGCTGAGGAATTCAGTTCCGGCTTCCTTGCTGAAAAGTTGTGTAATTTGAAAGCATATATGCTTGTAACAGAAGTCATTCAAATAAAAAATATATTTTGATCTATTCAGTACTTTATTCTGAACTTACCACTTGGCTCTGGGTGGAAGCTGTCTGGATGCAACACGGCCTTCTCCCTCTAAAAGGTAAAGGTATCCCCTTGACGGTAAGTCCAGGCATGCCTGACTCTAGGGGGCGCTGCTCATCTCCGTTTCCTAGCCGAGGGAGCCAGCGTTTGTCTGCAGACAGTCTCCGTGGTCATGTGCCCGGCATGACTAAACACCGAGGTGCACAGAACGCTGTTACCTGCCCACCGAAGTGGTGCCTTTTCACCTACTCGCATTTGCATGCTTTCGAACTGCAAGGTTGGCAGGAGCTGGGACGGAGCAACGGGAACTCACCCCGTTGCGCGGATTCGACTGGCAACCTTTCGATCAACCAGCCCAGCAGCACAGCGGTTTAAACCACTGCGCCACCAGCAGTCCCCTTCTCCCTCTAATGACCTCCAAATGTTTTGGATAACAATTCCCAGCGTTCTTTGCTAATGGGGGACCAGGCCAAGAAAGGGCAGCACCATTCTTAATACTGCGTTATCTTCAAAAGCCATGCAGGAATTATTTATTTTGCACCTCGGGCTGAGCAAGCTGAGAAAGGGGCTGAGCGGAGCGGCGGATGGGAGGTGGCAATCGCCTCTGCCTCTTCCTCCAGAGTTACACAGTCCTCAGCTTCTGCGGGTTTGATCCTGGAAACAGCACCGGGCCTTGAGCATTTAGACGGGGCATTCCCCGCACTCCAGTATCCCTCCAGCAACCATTCGCCCACGAAGTGCGCCCAGCAAAGTGTCCCCCAGGCCCACCCCGAGCAAAGACGCCTCCCTCCCGCCCGCGACGAGGGCTTGGACTGCCGACCCCCAACCCAAAGCCTCTCCTCCCGGCAAGAACGGCCCCGGGGCCACGATGAGCGCAGCCCCGGGCCCTTCAGCGCGCCCAAATGCTGAGCTCCCCCGCCCCAGACATCTGCTCCGGCAACCACCTCGCGGGCTTCCCGCCTCTCCTGCGCGAGCTGCAGCCTGCGGGGGACACAG